ATTTAATAATTTTCTTGGTATGGAAATATTCATAAATATATAATAAAAGAGGAGACAGAACATCTCATTCAAAAATCATTATTTGTTAACAATCATACATACCGCCAGAGTTATGGATAAGTTAGAAAAAGATGGGCTTAAAAATTGGCACCGCTGTAACCTGCTCCTACATTTCCCCAGCTGCCTTTATCAGAGGCGTGCAGTTTTTCTAGATCATGAAAAATTAAGATCTCTAAATATACAATTAACCACACCACTGCTTGGGCTAAAAAAAAACATAACCTCACGTACCGTCGAAATACCAATCCAGGGTTATAGGCCCTGAGATAGGGCCTGTTTAGTGGAGTCATTTTTTTTGTCTGGCATTTTGAAGGATGAATGTGGCTAGTTAGCTGATGAGAATATAAGTGGTTTTAATGCCTGCCACCTGTTTGAAATGTCCACAGAATATTTCGCCGAAAAACTCGACTTCGAATTGGGATTACCGTCTGGCGATTTTTCAGCGATATTTTCACAACAAAACCTTCCATTCTCTCGATTACCAGACAAAAAGTAAACACAGATGGTTTTTTTCTTTTCTCTTGGAAGTTGACACTCATCCCCACTTTTTCAGCTATTAAAAAGCATCTGGTATTTTTTATGGGTGAATTATTTATCAATGTCAATTTTTTATTTAGAAGCCAAAAAATTTGAGATCATTAAATGAAAATTCCTCATGTAAATCAATTTTTTTCTTCTGCAAATTTTCGAACGGGAGGCAGGCATTAAAATAACCCATATTCTCATCAGCTTAGTAGCCACATTCAGCCCTCGAAATGCCAGACAAAAAAAATTACTCCATTAAACAACCCCTATCTCACAGTCTATTAGAATAAACAAATTTTTTTTACAAATCACGCATTGGCGATACATTGTAGTTAGTCTAGGAAAATAGTCGAAAAATACATGCATTGCAAAAAAAAAAATCCTACCCAAATGAAATTTTCAGGGATGATAGGGGGCGGGTGGGTGATCATAAAACCGAAAATATCAAACATTCACCCCGCTGGCGTTTTGCGCTATAGGGGTTGAAACTGCGCCATTGGCGATTACTTGGTACATATTGATTTTACAAAAAAATGTTTCAAATAAAAGATGTGCAACATTATTTGATCTACAATGTTTATCTAAAGACTTTTTTGATTAAGGGTCGTCTGTGGTTATAAGGGCCGTTTGAAATTTTATAATGAAAATGAAAATTTTAACCAACGTGAAAAAATTTTCTACAACACATACAACATTTTTGCTTTATGAAATGTTTGCTCATCCCCTGCCGTTTTTCAATAGGGGTAGTTTAAAGATTTTTTATTTTTTTACAAAAAAATTTTCTTGATAAAAGTTTTATAAGATTACATTTCCTACAATATTTTTTTATCAACTATTTTTGTAACTCACCCCCATTCAACGGGGGGACACTTCCCTTGGGGAAATTTAAGTTTTTAGGGGTATATATTAATGTTTTTTTTCTTTTCTCGCCTTTAGTGCATATAAAAAGTTGCATTAACATTGTATCAAAAGGATTTTTCTTCCACCACTTTTTTGATTTTAGGGGTAGTTCGCCTATTTACAACTTTACAAAAAAAAAAGATTCAGACAAAGAAGCTAGTAGATTCGCTAAAAAAAAGGTGGCAACGCTGTTGAATTTTTTATAATGATTGTCTCCTATACTTTGGTTTGGTATACCCCAAACAGTGTTGCCAATGACCCGATAATAATCGAATTCTACTATAATTTTCACTACAATTCAATAATCGATAATGACTAGCTAATCTACCATAATTTATTGAAAGTACAATTTTAATACAAATTTTTCAAATTTTTAGTTAAAAATTTTTCTTGGAATCTGATAATTTTGTTCTCAAATCCTGAGAATTTTATACATCTGTCAAAACTGGTATTCCAACAATGAATTGACATGTTTTGATTGTTAATTTGAACCAATCAGATTGCAATTATCTGATAATTTGCACTAGTGCAAATTATCAGATAATTGCATAGTAACTGGTGCGAAAACTGGTGTTTTTTGACAAAAAATTCAAATTTTTGATTTATGAAATTCTCTCATTAAATACAACTCGTGCAATGAAAATATATTTATAATTTTCGACAAATTTGCACTCATGCGTTTTTAACTGAAAAAGGCACTCGTGCACTACGTGCACTCGTGCTCTTTTTCAACTAAAAATGCATTCGGGCAAATTTCCCAAAAATTATCAATAATTTCCATTGCACTAGTTATATTACTATTGAAAATTTCAAATTAAACCTCTGGTAAAACTGACCCCAAAGTTATTTGAAAACGGTAGGTTGTCTGATAACTTTATGACGTCACGTCATCCGGGGTGCCTCAAATCTCCATAAAGCACCCCAGATGCGTCATCCAGTTACCAATTACCCAGGCAACCTGTCAATTTTGAACCTTAGGCTTACCCAAGCTTTTCATTTGTCAGATACAAATAGCCAAAATTTGTGTAATATTTTTGTTTCTATTTTGTCTCCATCCCTTTCTAACCCATTGAATTTTGCATACCATTTCTATCTATTCCAGACATTTGATTGGCCAGATACAAGACCACTCAATTTTGCATACCACTTCTCTTTATTCTAGGCACTTGGTTAGTTAAATACAGAACCATTCAAGCGCCGGGAATAGTCAAAATTCGTGTAACTTTTTTTTATCCTACTTTATATTTGTCTCTTTCTTATTGATTGAATTCTTTATACGTCTGTCACCTACTTTGATACACCCAAATACTTGATTTGCAAAATACAAAAATCCAAAATTTGTGTAATACCTATTTTATCTCTGTCCCTTTCTTACCCATTGAATTTTGCATACGATTTCTCTTTATTCCAGACATTTGATTGGCCAGATACAAGACCACTCATTTTTATCTCTTTCTTATACAAGCTTTTAGAAAAAGACACAAATATACTCAGTGCGCGCACTAACCCTTCAAATAGAATTCGCTATAGAAATAAATAACACTCCAGTCGTCAGGTTGAGATTGGTTTCTGGCAAGAATCATAAACTCAAAAAAAAAGCCATGCGTTTACCCAATCAAATTTCAAAAAAATGGTGTCTTCGTCGGTCCTTTTTTAATCATTAATGTTGAAAAAAGGCAGTATTAAGTTTTCTTTTTGAAATGGACATTCAATTAGAAAACACTCTGTATACAGAACGCGTATCAGCAGTTGTTAAATGTCAATACGCCAACTGGAATTAATGTTGTCAGCGATCTACTTTACCGACCGACATATGTTTGATGTTTGAACTTTCTGACACAACCCTTTTTCAAGTAGGCTATGCATTCACCCTATATCAAATTACGAAAAGTTGTGCTTTCCTTTATAAATTTTCGTCGGTCCTTCTTTAATCATTATTTTTGAAAATAAACAGTATAAAATTTTCTTTTTAAAATGGACATTTAATTAGAAAACATCTTGTATACGGAACGCATATCAGCAGTTGTTAAATGTCAATATGTCAACTGGAATTAATGTTGTTAGTGATCTACTTTATCGACCGATAGATATTTGACGTTTGAACTTTTTGAAAAACCTTTTTTCAAGTAGACGGTGCATTTACCCAATCAAATTTCAAAAGATGGTGACTTCTTTTATCGATTTTTGGCGGTCCTTTTTTATTCATTAATGTTAAAAAATGACAGTATTAAGTTTAATTTTTAGAATGGACATTCAATTAGAAAACACTCAGTATGCGAAACATTTATCAGCAGTTATCAAATGTTAATACGTTAACTGGAATTATTGTTGTCAGTGATCTACTTTACCGACCGACAGATGTTTAAATTTTCTGACACAATCCTTTATCAAGTATCCAATGCATTTAGGTTTCGGGTACATTTTTCAAATTTGGTTGACATTTGACACTGTTGACAGTTTAGTAGGCGAGAATTAATTTAAAATGATTGACACTTGTCAGAATTTTCCTCGACCAAGTATTATTAGGGTGAGTATTATAAAATCATTTTGACAGAATAACTTAAAGATAACTTCTAGAATGGAGGTTACTTTTCATAGTAATTCCAGCCCTTTACTGTTAGTTGTCTGTCAAAATAGTTCTATAATACTTAACACCCTCTCTTAGACCTTTACGCTGATTTGGTTTATCTGATCACCAACTAATTTATTTTGTCATTTTTCAATTGTGACTATTGAAGAAGGATAAAAAAAATTGAAAATATAAATAAATTGAAATAGTCGAAGATTGTTTCTGATTGTAGCGAAACTCAATTTTCTAGTTTAAGGCAAACTAATAGTTTTATAAATTCTTTACTTGATATTTGTTCTTCGTCAGTTTTAATTGATCATTAGGCAACACTGCAAATCGTAATATCCATGGCTCACTTGGATCTAAAAAATCTTGATCTTGATAGTGAAAAAGCACTTATGTCACTTGTCACAACAAGGCGTACAATGGCGTAGCGACATATGTTTCATCGGGGGTTTGATTTATTTTTCTATTCCCTGTTCTTAGATATACTATTCTCATTGTGTTTTGTGATTATTTTCGTTATTTATACATTTGTGTGTATTTTTGTATTATGAGGGAGGATAGTTTTTAAGAAGTTTTTTTTCTACTACGTGTACGGCGCTGCACATGATTCTTTTTTATTGTAAATATTTCAAAAATGATCCTATCATACGTAAAATGATTTACTGATGCTCAAAAAATTGAAAAATACCGGGTGTCTCAAATTGAAAATCAAAAGTTATGGCCACTTCCAGTTAAACCAGAAGTGAGTGGTAACGCAATTTGGTTTCAAAAAACTTGAAAAATTGCTTTATTTAAGCTTCAAATTTTCAACTTATATAATATGTATTGAAAAAATTATAAGTAATGCATTATTTCTTGTGTCACCCTGTATACAGTTTTTCATAATATAGCTCGATTTGGTTCCCAATAGTATTATGAATTGCTTAATTTTATCTTTCAGGTAACCAAATGGCCAAACATTTGGCCCTCTGCGAAAAGAAATCGGCCTACCCGTCACTCTCTGAAGCTAAAAGTGCCTCAGTCACTCACAGCATGCTTGACGTTTTGGGCTTGGTACGAAAACCAGGTGAGTTTTCTTGTGCAAAAAAGTCAACTACACCTAAAAAGAAAGTTGTTGAAACTATTACAATTATTGAAGAAGATGGTGCAACATCAACAAAAGTTGAAAAAGCGAAAAGAAAATCATCACAAAATAAAGAAGAAATTAATGCTAAAAAGGTCAAAATTAATGACGAAAAAAGCGAAGTAGCTTTTGTAGATGAACATACATCTGAAGAAGAAGTTAAAACTAAAAAAGCTAAAATTGATGTTGAAGTTAAAGAAACCGAAGTGGCTTTTGTAGAAGAGCATAAAGAAGAAGAACATAAATCCAAAGAAGAGGAAACTGATATGTTGGCAATGGATGACGATGCTACAAAAAATGCTGAAGAAATTTTAATAATTATTAACGAAGATGATGACAATTTAGAAACCGAGAAAGATGATACTAGAATAGTTAATCTTGATGAAACAGAAAATTCTACAAAAATTGTCAATGAAGAGAAAAAGGAAATAAATAAAGATGCTGTAATAAGTCTTGAAAAGGAAAAAGAAGAACCAGAAAAAACTAGTAAAAAAGATTCAATAAATCTTAACGAAGAAGAAAATAATTCTCCAAGAGAGAAAGAAGCAGAAAATAATATTGTTGATGAAAACGCAAAAGTAGATGATAAAAATGAAGACAGTGCAGAAAAAGTGAGTGAAACACCAGAGAAACCTGAAGAAAATGAAGTGAAAGTTTCATCACTACAATCTTCAAATTCTGAGCTGGAAAAAAAAGTTTCAGAAGATAACACTGAAGCAATTGTTGCAATTAATTCTGAACCAGTCAAGGAAAATTCTCCCATGGAAATGGCTGAAGTTGAATCTGTCAAAGAGGCCAGTATGGACGTGGATTCGCGATCCAACGAACCAATGGAATTTGACGACGTTTCGAATTCCGCAATGGAAACCGATTAAAAATGAATTTCCAGGTGAATTTATTGTTAAGCTTAGTTATAGAAAATAATTACTTGTTAAGTGTGAAAATAATATTTAGAAATTGGTCGCCATCCTTTGCGAATCTAGATTTTTTTATTTTTAGCTTTTAGGATTTAAGTTTATTAAGTTTTTTTTTACAATGTTGCAACACTGTAAAATGTTTTATAATAGCTTTTCATTAAAATTATTTTTCATTTTTGTGCAATTTAAAAGTATTTGACAACACTGCAATACTAGTGCAGCATTGACAATTTTTTTCTGAATAATGAAATATTACACAACGTTGAGTAAATGTCGTAGCATTAGACAACGTTGCCATGCTTTATTGTTTTTATTAGAAAACCCAGGAATATTTTCTTAATTTTTATTTTTTTTTCAAGAAATTTTGTATTAAAGATTTAAGTTTAAGTGAGCATTTGGGTTAATTATTGGCTCAAATTCTTTTGTACATAAATAATGTCAAGTTATATTTTTTTCTGTATTTTATACTTTAAGTTTAGTTTAATATACATTTAAGGGCTATACTAGGTGTCTTTTATTTTTATACATATTCAGGAAAATATGTACCCTTGGACATTTTGGCTTTTTTCTTAGGAAACTTTTGAGGAGAAAATTTTGAAATTTTGAGCATTAAAATAAGAAAAAAATTAGCTCATTATACCAAAGAATATTATATACTAACGTCTCTAGAAGAACCGTCCGGCGGCGAAAATATAAACCTGCGTGATGGCGCTAGTGTCCTAGTAAAATCAGTCGTTTCTGCGATTAAATTAATTTGAGGCACTAAATGCACGCGTATTTGCTAGGCTGCGTTGCCAAGTTGTCTTTTGTATAACAAATTAAATGCCTGTGTTTTATATAGGTAATTATTATACATATACTTACCATAGAATAGGAATATTTTATAATTTAAAAAAAAAAATAAATAGGTAAATAGTTATGTATTTTTGTGGGTAGTAATTTTCTGTTACTAATAAATAGAGGAATAAAACACAAAAATTGTTTCTGTCTGTCTGTCTACCTATGTCCGTTATAGACTTTGAAACTATCCGATCGATGTGCCTCAAACCAGTTTAATGTTTAATATGAAAGGCAATAATAATAAGAAGGTTTTAGACCGCTAATGACAGGTGTCAACTGTCAAATTGAGACAGTTGCAGATTGAACCATATCTTCACAACGGATTTTGCTGAAATTTAGCATACACTTCAAGTTCAGGTGATTAGATGATAATACATTTTAGATCACTAATGACAGGTGTCAACTGTCAAATGTGACAGGTGCAGATTTTTGAACCATTATTTCGCAACGGATTTTGCTGAAATTTTGCATACACTTTAAGTTCGGATGATAATACATTTTAGACCACTGATGACAGGTGTTAACTGTCAAATGTAACAGATGCAGATTTGTGAACCATTTCTTCACAACAGATTTTGCATACACTTTAAGTTCGGGTGATAATACAATTTGGAATATTCAACAGCTGTCGAATGTAATTTTTGACAGCTGTCAAAATATGACAGGTCGAGAGGTGAACAGATTGTCAGGACTACCCCCGTCTTTGAAAATTTGCTTTTTTCGACAAATAGACAAATTTCAAAAATAAAAAACCCATAATTTTGCACACCGATTTTCAAAATTTGCACACTTTTCTAGGGAAAGTTATATCGTATCAAAAATTTGCATAACCCCACTCGTTTTTTAAAAATTGATAGACCCCTATGCTACTCGTTTCATCTAATTTTGGACAATTTTGCACACCTATTTTCAAAATTTGCACACTCTTCTGGGAAAAGTTATGAGGTGTGATAAATGTGCACTTTTTTCCCCGTTTATCTGAAACTTGAAAAATTCTTATGCTACTCGCGTCGGCTAATTTTGCACACCTTATTTTTAATTTTACACATTCCTCTGGGAGTTGAATGTTGTATTAATTTGCACGTTTTCCCCTGTTTGTCAAAAAATTTAAAAACCAGTACTATTGGGTTCACTCAATTTTGTACGTTTATTTTCAACCCGAATTGAGTAACATAAAAAAATTTAATTTTCTCAAAAAACCGGTGGAAAAGTGCACATTTTGCAAAATTTGAAAATAGGTGTGCAAAGTTGTGCAAAATTAGGTGAACCTAGTAGCATAAGGATTTTTCAACTTTTTGAAAAACGAGGGTGGGAGGGAGAGTGGGGAGACAAGCATAGGATCTTTTAATTTTTCGACAAACGGGGGGGAAAGTGCAAATTTTTGGAGTTTGATGGAAAGAAAATGAGACGCGTGAAAAGTTGGTTTCACGAGGGTTTGTACTTACGTCATCATTTGCCTTTTTTAAAAAAAAATTGATTTTTTTATGTCTGAAATTTCAAACACGGCACGCAAGTTTTTACTTACGTCATCGATGACGTCATAACTTAGAGAAAAAGTTATGTCATAGATTAGAGAGACTGTTCGAAACCAAAAGATTCTGAGCCAAAATGCGTCCACTGCGGCGACAAACACCCAGCTAACTATAGGGGGTGTATTGTAGCTAAAGAAATACAAAAATTAAGGAATAACCCGAAAAGGCCAACTCCCACACCACAAGCAAGCACAAATGGTCACAGCCAACAACCAAGAAACGCAGCTACGCAAAACTCTGCGACAAGGACTTACAGCCAAGCAGTAGCATCAGCTCCTGCCACTGTTAGTGGCAACTCTATTAACCAAAGCACTATGGAACAAACATTGCAATTGATTTTGGAAAAATTAAACAAACTTGATGAGCGATTAACTAAACTGGAAAATAGCAATAATGGCGCTATCATCAATCGTCAAAATGGTCAGTAACCTTAGAATTTTAGCTTGGAATGCCAATGGGCTCTTGCAGCATCAGCAAGAGTTGCAAGTTATACTAGATATACAAAAGATTGACATTTGCCTCATATCAGAAACGCATTTCACAAATCAATCCTATATTAAATTTAAAGGATATAAAGTGTATCACACAATTCATCCTAGCAATACAGCACATGGAGGAAGCGCTGTCATAATTAAAGAAAACATATCTCACATTGAAGAGACGGAATACAAAACAATTGAAATTCAAGCTACAGCAGTAAGTGTAAAAACCAAAACATATACACTAACCATATCTGCTGCCTATATACCACCAAGGCATTTATTGAAGAAAAATCAATATCTCAATTTTCTTAGAAAGTTGGGAAATCGATTCATAGTTGGGGGTGACTTTAATGCAAAAAATACCTACTGGGGTTCCAGACTAACCAATTCCAAGGGGAAGAAACTTCTGCAAGCTATTAATGAATATCAATGCCAGCCCCTATCCACAGGTAGGCCAACATATTATCCAACCGATCCTGGAAAAATTCCCGATCTAATCGATTTTTTCGTAATAAAAAATATATCTCCAAATTTTCTGGAGATAGAAGAAAGTTATGATTTACACTCAGATCACTCACCTATTATCCTAACTCTGAGTGAATATATAATTAAGAAAAAAGCACCTATCTCATTAGTTAATAAACTGACGGACTGGGCTAGTTTTAAACAAAGTCTGTCGGAAAAGATGAACTTATCAGTACCGTTGCGAACGCCACAACAAGTTGATGAAGAAGTCGATTGTTTTATCGTTAATATTCAACAAGCAGCTTGGGAAAACAGTCCCAAATTAAAAAGAATTTTTAAGGGAAAAAACTACCCAAAAGAAATTAGAGATCTTATTATAGAAAAAAGGAAACTAAGAAGAAAATGGCAGCAAAGTCGAGATCCCCATGACAAAACAATTATCAACAATATGACGCAGCGCATAAGGCGAGAAATTCAAGAAATCAAAAATGACTCTATTAACAATTACCTAAGTGAACTCACCGGCGACAAAAGCACTGATTATTCTCTTTGGAAAGCAACTAAAAGACCAGTTACCCAAATTCCACCCATAAGAAAGTCAAATCAGCAATGGGCAAGGAGTAACGAAGAAAAAGTAGAACTTTTTGCAAGTCATTTAGAAAAGACATTCCAGCCTAACGAAGCACAGGATGAAAATCTTCCCTGGAATGAAGAAGAAGGCAACATTAAGCCTACTTCACTAAGAGAAATATTAACAGAGATCAAACAAAATATCAGTCCGAAAAAAGCTCCAGGATATGACCTAATTACTGGGGAAGTAATAAAACAACTCCCCAGGAAAGTTATTGTGAAATTATGCAACCTTTTCAATGCGTCATCAATCATGATACCAAAACCCGGAAAACCACCTCATGATGTGTCATCTTATAGGCCAATATCATTATTGCCCGTTTTATCTAAGCTTTATGAAAAGATACTGCTAAAAAGAATAAAACCTATCATAGAAAGACAGGAAATCATTCCAACTCATCAATTTGGATTCCGCGACAAGCACCTCCTACGATCGACCAAGTACACAGAATAACGAATTTAATAGAAAAATCGCTGGAAGAGGGAAAAGTCTGTTCCGCAGTTTTCCTCGATGTAGCGCAAGCATTTGACAAAGTTTGGCATGAAGGCTTAAACTATAAACTAAAGCTGTTTCTGCCAAAACAATATTCTGATATTTTGGAATCATATATGTGTGATAGACAGAGTCAAACAGGAAGATTTTGAGTCAAAATTTACGAAAAATAAAAGCAGGTGTACCTCAGGGTAGCGTGCTAGGTCCCTACTTATATTTATTATTTACATGCGACATCCCAAAACCAGAAAATTGTCATTTAGCAACATTCTCCGACGATACTGGTTTAATTACAGTGGAAAAAAGTATTGAACAATCAACAGAAAAACTGCAGAACGCTGTCAGTGAAGTTCAAAATTGGACCAAAAAATGGCGAATAAAATTGAATGAAACCAAATCAATTCACGTTGATTTTACAAACAAAAACGTAAATCACATACAAATCACAATTAATGACACCCCTATACCATATTCAAATCAAGCTAAATATCTTGGTATGACGCTTGATGCGAAATTGCGCTGGAAAGCACATGTTAAGAAAAAAAGGCAAGAGCTTGAATTTAAGTATAGAAAAATGTACTGGTTAATTGGAAGGACGTCCAATTTAACCATACATAACAAGTTACTACTTTATAGGCAAATACTGAAACCAGTATGGGCATATGGAATTCAACTTTGGGGTTGCACTAAAGATAGTAACATACAAGTTATTCAAAGATTCCAAAATAAAGTACTAAGAAACATTGTTAATGCACCTTGGTACGTTCGAAATAGTGATCTACATCGGGAACTAGGAATTGATACTGTAACAGAGACTATAAGAAAGTACGCAAAAAAGCCATGAAGATAGACTACATCGGCATGTGAATGTGGAAGTCATTGAGCTCCTAGACAATACTGAGCTAGTTAGAAGACTGAGAAGGGTGAAGCCGTTCGAGCTAGTGAACTGAAATTGAAAAACACAACAAAACAGTGCTATAAACACATCAAAATTGTGATTTACAGTTTAAGCAAAGTGGGGAAAACTGTTGAGTGAACCTCAAGAATTGTAAACTTTATAGTAAATTAGGTTAAAACAAAATTGCTAATTAGTCTTACTGACTAGATTGTAATGTAATAAACACAATGTGTTTAACAAATATAAAAAAAAAAAAAAATTAATTCATGGAGCACCTTCGGAATTATTGTTTTGTAATACATTTTTTAACTTAGAAGAGAATTTATTCAGTTATCCGAAAATATATAAATAAAATTTCTCCTAGAGTGATTTTTCACTGTAAATTTTTGAAATTTTCCTTCTGCCAGTTTTCCAGAAAAAAATTTAAAATTAAAAAAATGAATTTTGGTTAAAAGTTAGTTTTCCAGAATTTCTTCTGGAGTGATTTTTTACTGGAAAATTTTGAAATTTTTATACATACATATAATGAACTTCTCACTTTCCTCTTTCTCCTGTAAAAATTTCAAAATTTTTCTTCTGCTAGTTTTCCAAAAAAAAAAAAATGTGAGAGGATGAATTTTCCTTAATTTTA